GGCACCTGCAACAGACACAATTGCAGCAATCCTCGCTGCATTTGTTGACACAAAATTTGTCACAGAGAGCTCAGCAGCCACAAGTTCAACAATTATCACAGCAAAGCCTCCCAGAGCAACAGCTTCAACTGCAGCTATTACAGAAATTTCAGCAACAACAACAGCAACAGTTGCTCTCTCCAGCGAGCTCACTCTTGCAGCCTCAGTTGCTGCAGCAACAGCAGCCTAGTTCACAAAATCAGCAAATGCTGCTGCCTCTGACCCAGAATCAACAACTACCGCTCAGCAGTAACAGCTTTTCAACATCAACGCTCATGCAGCCTCCACAACTTCCTCTTAACCAGCCTCAGGGCCAGAATAAACCACTTAATGCTATCAGAGCCCACTCTGGTCTTACTGATGGAGAGGCTCCTTCATGTTCAACCTCACCTTCAACCAATAATTGCCAGGTTTCCCCACCAAACTTCTTGAACAGGAACCAACAAGGGCCAGCCATGTTGGCATCTGATTCAGTGGTTGAGCCTCCAAGTAATCTATTCCAAGAGCTTCAGAGTAAGTCAGATATGCATATGAAGCATGAGTTGCCTGGTTCAAAAAGTTCAGATCCACAGAAGTGCAAAGGTACTGTGACGGATCAGTTGGAGGCCGCCTCTTCCGGAACATCATATTGCCTGGATGCTGGCACCATCCAACAAAATTTCTCTCTTCCCACATTATGTTTGGATGTTGATATCCAATCACATCCGCGGAACAACCTGCATTTTGCAGCTAATGTTGATAGCTTGACACCTGACACCCTGTTGTCAAGAGGGTATGACTCTCAAAAGGATCTTCAGAACTTACTTTCTAATTATGGTGGCACTCCAAGAGATATTGAGACGGAGTTATCAACTGCTGCCATAAGTTCTCAGTCATTTGGTGTGCCAAGCATGCCTTTCAAACCCGGATGTTCAAATGATGTTGCCATCAATGAAGCTGGGGTTTTGAACGGTGGACTGTGGGCCAACCAAACTCAGCGAATCCGAACATATACAAAGGTTAGTTAAATCAGAATGTGTCTATCTATCATGTATCTGTTGGTTAATTTACTTATCCTGCAACTCTCCCGCGAACCTGATTGTGTGATTCACATCAAAGGACAACCTAGATAACATCCACATTAGAACCTATCTTAAGCTGAGAATGATCACTATTCTACAGCAGTGTCACCTTCTATGTTGCAAAGTTGTAGTGTTTTTTGTGAAAGTAATTATCACTTTAACAAATAGAAGCTATTGTGTTTGATAGAATAGTTATAGATATTAAAATAATCAAAAAAAGTCTAAGAATTATTTCATAATAAATAAATGTTAATAAAATTATATATTTTTCTGTAAAAATATATTTTAAAAATATAAAATATTCCATATTTGTAATAAAAATAAAATTTTATTTACATTTAAAAATTGAATTACCAAGTATTAATAAAATTTTAATATTTTCAAAATCAAATATAGGTTAATAAATTTGTGTGAGAATAATTTTGAAAGACTGTATATATCTTTTTTAAAGCAGAAGCAGTTTTTGAAAAGTACATATTTATATTCGTCAAGAGCATATTTTAGCTTAAGTGTTGATGAACTCTTTTTTCTTTGTGGTTGAAAAGTGTTTTGACACAGAAACTGTAGCTGAAAACTGCAACAACTTTTAGGAATGGAAGATGCAGGACTTAAAGCTCCCTATGGCTTACTATGATTTATCATTTTAGTCATAAAATATTCATTTAATAATCATCTTTTCTTTGGCATAAACGTAACAATTATTTAATATGAAACTTTGATGATTTGATATCAGGAAAGTTACTTTGCCCAGAATTCGTATCTTGGGAATCTGTATTCTGGATGTTATTGGTGCTACTCTTACATCTTGTTTTCAATCTTGAAGGAACTTTGGCCTAGTTGCAATATTCCAGGCTGGGTGAACTTATGCGTCAATTCTTGGTCGTTTTGGTTTTTATATCCCTGCAGATTTAGTTAAATCTGAGAGATAGCTTCTTGTATTTTCTGTACCATAGCACTTAAGTTTAACACCAATTAAATCCTTGAAGGTTCAAAAGCGTGGCTCTGTGGGAAGATCGATTGATGTCACCCGTTACAAGGGGTATGATGAGCTAAGGCATGATCTTGCACGCATGTTTGGGATTGAAGGACAGTTGGAAGATCCACAAAGCTCTGACTGGAAACTAGTTTATGTCGATCATGAAAATGACATACTACTTGTTGGTGATGATCCTTGGGAGTAAGTCAAGGACCTTTGTAGTTTTCTTCCATTTTTGTGGGTTGATCATATGTTCTTTAACTTTTGATTATTTAATTGTTTATAGGGAGTTTGTGAGCTGTGTCCAGAGCATAAAGATACTCTCATCTGCTGAAGTACAGCAGATGAGCTTGGATGGAGATCTTGGAAATGTGCCAGTTCCTAATCAAGCATGTAGTGGGACAGATAGTGGGAATGCATGGAGAGGACACTATGATGACAACTCAGCCGCATCATTTAACTGATAAAACTACAACGTTGGGGTATGAGCAGTTTATCTGGCAACAGATTCAGATGGTCTTCGGCAACCTATCAAAGCCATGTCAAGGAAGACACACCAGGGAGCTAATCCATGATTGTTGCAACTTACCAGAAGAGCTCTGTTTAGTCTAACTATTCTAGTAAAAGTTAATCGTGGAGATTCGATGAAGCACTGGAGCCTGAGACCACAGATCAAATCAATAGTAAGGTTGCAACAATATATTCGAATCTGGACCAAAAATTTACCTTTTAACTTCGCCTTTGGTGTATCTGGCAAGTTAAGGAAAGTATCAGGAAAACGGCACCATGTAAAATATATAGCCATTGTTAATTGGAAGCCATATCCGACACTGTAAATGCTGTAAGATGGGAGAAGGTTGTCCACAGGTGGCATAGCTATTAACAAGCCAGATGTCTAACATCATTTTTGTCCGTCTTGCATGATGGATGGTCCTCCCTTTTTAGCAGATACCAGTTCCTTTAATGAAAGGAACCACACGATACTAACATTGTTGTAATGGTAGCATCTCATTGTATGGTAAATGTTGTTTGAATTACATTCTAATGGTGAGTGCCCTAATGATAGAATGAAATCCATTTCTAAGTCTACCTCTTTCTCTCAATATAAAAGTTGGAGTTCAAATTTCTTTTGTCCTGAATTATGGACCCAGGTTTTTTATGAGGTGTTTTTACCTGTTCTACTTCAATGTCGATTATCTCTCAGGTTCTGTAAAGCCGTTTAAAAAAGCTATAATTCATCCAGTTTTGACATGCATCAAAGATTTCTAAAATACATCTGCATAACCTATTGTCAGCCTATAGTGTATGTAGCGTGATTAAAGAAGCTGCAACTGATTATATTTCAAGTGAAATTACATTCAAAATCCATCTGCCAATAAGGCTGCTCAATCACAAGATCCCGCAACATAAAAGATAGACAACTAAGATAAAACAGCCATCACATCTGAAGCTCTTAGTGCGATGTAGTTAGTACCATCATTGCCCTTGAAATCATTCCCTGCATACTTGGAGTAGAGGACTGTGTTTCCAGCAGATACAGATAAGGGTTTTCTGTTACCTTCCTCATCAAGAAGACCAGGTCCAACTGCTACGACCTGTTATGGGCAAACACAAAATGTATCCATGGCTTTAATTTTATTGAAAACAACACTCATCCTCGGAGCAACAATTTCCTCCATCTCCTACAGTTATAAAAGGGATTTTATATCTTACCGTGCCAATTGAAGGCTTTTCTTTTGTAGCTTCTGTTAGCAGTAAACCTCCAGCAGTTTTCTCCTCAGCCTCAGCAACCTGAAATTAGAAATTCAAGGAAAGCCAACTAAAATGTAATTCTTATTTGTATACATGAAAAGCCAACTTTTGCAAATACTAATAATATAATCAAAGCACCATATTGATAAATTTCAAAAAAGGAAAGAACAAACCTTGATGAAAACTCTATCATTCAAAGGCTTGAGATCCTTGATATCATCTGTCTCAAGAATGCCAACAATATCATCCTCTTTGAGGATAAGGTGACTAGCACCATTGAACTCAACTTCAGTCCCTGCATACTTGGAATAAATAACCTGGGTGCCAGTCTACACCAAAAAAAAATGCATACCGTTAGCGATGGGGATATGCAGTAGGAACACAAACCATGAAACTCCGACATCTACCCAAGATAAACTGTCACCTTCACAGAGATGTCCACTTTGGTATTTCCAATTGTTTTCCCCTCGCCAACAGCAACAATCTCACCTCCTTGTGGCTTTGATTGCGCTGTTGTTGGAAGTAAAATACCACCCTCAGTCTTCTCCTCCACATTTTTTATCTTCACCAACACTCTATCACCCAAGGGCTTAATTGAAGTATACTGCCAGATTAAAAGGAAATTATAGCAGATTATCACAAACCGCAATTGGATGATTTGCAAATTCAGGAATAAATGTTTAGCTAAACATAAGTTTACAAAAACTTATTTGACTAATCCTGTATAATCAGTCATTTTCCATCACAGCATTACACATACAAGGGCAAAACCAGAAATAGCCAGAGGATTCCAAAAGTAAAGGTAAAGGGAGTTTAGAATAACTAAAAAGATATTAAATATCAATACATCACTAATCCCCAGAATGTGCAGCCATAGGAGATAAGGACAACTAAAATAAATTAATCAACTTATAACCCAATAAATGAGTACAACATTGAATTAACGTCGCAGTTAAAATAGCTCTTCCCTTAGACGAAATCAAGAAAATTACAGGGAAAACGAGCAAATTAGTACCAGAACTAACCTTGGGGGCAACAACGGTGGCTGCTTTAACTACCAAACCACGAAACGACCTCTGGGTTAAAGCCCCAGTTCTCAACGTCCCAAAGAAGCGAACTTGACAGTTGAAGGTCTTAGCCCTTCAATGATGCCAAGTTCCTGGCTGACACTGTCACTGATGATGCCGTTAACTGAGCTGTTGCCATTTCTGCATTCAAATTCCAAACATTA